AGATGACAAAAGAATCTGCGACCACTAGCCTGAACCAGGTGGATGGGTTTGTCATTTGGGCCATGGCTGGATACTTACTTCTCTGTGTAGCCCAGATGTATCCTACTCTAGTAATCTCTTTGGAGCCTGCTGCTTGCTGGGGAATGTGAGCTCCCTGAGGACAGGGGCAGCTTTATTTGTCATCAGTACCCACCTCTTCCTTCTACACAAAGAGTCATCAACAGAGGACAGACAGTGCTGAGTGTTTTTCCTTGAGGCAGATCTTTTATCCCCCATTTCATAGGAGAGGGAATCCGATGCAAAGAGGAGATAAGGGACCATTCAGAGACCTTTCAGTGGTAGGAGAATTTATCATGGCATGGTTAAGCATGCCTAGATGAGCTGGGTATTTCCAGAAACTCTGCCTGGCTTTCCAGGAAACAGCCAGGCTGCCAGGCTCTGAACCCCGAATGAGCTCTCATCAGCATTTGGAGGGGGAAGGGCCAGAAGGGGATGTCATCTGGAGCATGAGAAAGAGACAGGCTGGGTTCTAATTATGACCTGGACTTTTGAATAAGTCTTTTTCTCTGCTTGTCTGAGCCTCAGAGAAAGCAACTTGTGGGAGGTGTGTGGTCGGCAGCTACGTCCACAGTGGTACAGCTGTGTACACATGTGGCACACAGGTGATGGACAATGTGAACCTTTTCTCCTTGAATTTGCCCAGGTCAGGGTAACAAGAATCAAGGTAGCACAGTGATATTGACCTGGTTTGGGCCCACATGGACAGAGTGGATGAGGAGAGTGGAGGGAGAAAGGACTTCCCTGCTCTTCCTGGTCTATAGTTTCCAGTGACCATGACCTTCCAGACCACTCCCGCCACTTCCTCCAGCTTCCCCTGAGTCAACATGGCGGCTTTCTTTGTCCAGCTCACTCCAGCCCTCCCTTCTCCAACTTGGGGGAAATCTTTGGAGTGGGGGGATGAAATTAAGAAGGGAAGAGAAAGAGGAGGAGATTAACAGGGTGGAAGTTAGACAAGCACAGATGCCACCACCTGCTGCTACAGACTCTCAAGTGCTTGTTGACTCCCTGGGAGCGTTTGCTTGGGTCTGTTTAACAGTTCATTCCAGGGGAAGGGGAGGAGAAGGAGGGCTGGGGACAAAGGGCCTTTGACCAGCTCCTGGAAAAGCATTGATTAGTTTGCTTAGGTTGGCAAACAGTGACTGGGGTTTGGGGCCCAAGGATGAACTAGCCAGATTTTCTGCCCTCTGCACAGTGTCCAGCATGGGGGGAGGGAGTGAAGGCAAATATTCAAGGAACTGGTGTGCCCAGAGGTTCAGATAGAGAGAGAATAAAGCACACTGGGCGACTAGAGGAAGGTAATAGGGCAGGGGAAGGGCTGCTGGTACCTGGAGTTCTGGGATTGGGACTCTAGCCTACCTTGCTGGTGGTGAAAGAGCCACTCTAGCCTTGTGGACTATCCCCCAAGTTCACTCTGCCTCTTTCGGAAGCTGAGAGGCAGAGGGTAGCCATATCAGGGAAGATGTTTCTGAAGTGGTCCCCATGACCCAGGGCAAGAAGAATGGGAGTGGGCCTCAAGAAGGATTGGAGACAGCATGTACACTTCCAATCCCACACAATGGCCTCACTGCTGGGAGGCTCTTCCTTGGGCATTCACGGAGGCATCAGGCTCTTCTTCCAGCCTTGGATTCCTCCACTCAAAGACTGAATGGCTCCCACCTTGTGTCCTCCTGTGTGTGATGCCTCCCTGGAACTCCTCCTTGGCTTCCTCTTCTCTCCACCCTCAAAACCCTTCCCTCCTTCCAGGAAGCTTCCAAGATAAGCTCACAGTGCACACGTATTAACTTAGAGTCATGAACTAGTTTTAGAGTCGAGGTGGTGGTGGTAATTAAATATTATAATTACTTAGGTACACCATAGCTTATGTCACCCTGTTTTGCATTCATGCAATATTGCTTTGTACCATCCTCATTTTCTGTTCCCTAAAGGTAAATCCCTAAGGGTGGATACTTGTTTGTTTATTTACTGACTCTTCCACAAGCATGTGAGCTCCATGAGTGGGGGAGAGGGAGTTGGTTGTGTATCCTTCTCTGCTTACAACAATGCCTCACTCAGAACAGACACTGAATATACACTTGTGTATGTGCGTGAATGTTGGAAGGAGGTGGTTTCTTGCCCTCTCTCCCTGTTAAGACAGTGTGTGTGGTATTGCAGGTGCACAGTGGATGCTTTTGAATAAATGAAAGAATGAACAAAAAGAATAAATGATGAAATGAATGTCTGATTTAGCTTTGGGGAGGGGATTGGCCACCTTTAGGCTATCGTGGTAGCTGGACTGTCTATAGGGGAGTGCTGTTCAGTCATTTGTATTTTCTTGGCTCCTGCCAAGGTGTAGCTCATTCGCAGAGGAAGCTGGCAGCAGCTCCCTGATGGCCTCGGCGTCAGCTCGTGCCTGTCTTTGTGAAGAGGGGAGAGTGTGTGATTTTATCTGCTCACTCTGGCCATCCTACCTCTCCTTGCCATGCTCTCCCTTATGCCATCTGACCTTCCCACTTTGAATGACTCCTTTGGAATGTGGGGACAAACAGAGAATGTTCTGACAGTATTTCCTCTACCCCCATTGTTCTATGCCTTAAAAAAATAAAACAACTCTTTATTTTAGAAATAGTGAAATGTGTGGGCAGTGCCTGTGGCTCAAGGAGTAGGGCACCAGCCTTATATACCAGGGGTGGCGGGTTCAAGCCTGGCCCCAGCCAAAAATGAAAAAAAAAAAAAAAGAAGTAATAGTAAAATGTATGTGATCATGAATGAATCCTAGAGACATTTTTAGGGTATATCATCTCTGTGCTTATGCCAAAGTTTTTTTTGCAGTTTTTGGCCGGGGCCGGGTTTGAACCCACCACCTCTGGCATATGGGGGCCGGCACCCTACTCCTCTGAGCCACAGGCGCTGCCCTATGCCAAAGTTTTGACAAATGCAATTGTATTATCAAGTCATTAAAAAAATAGAAAACAGAGAGATCTGTTTTAAACGTGAAGTCTTTCATAGCCTATCCTGAACTGTTACTCTGAAGTGACAAGGAAGACAAGGGATACCACTACCTGTTATTTGTCAGCTGCTGTGCTGGGCTCCACACACATGTTATGTTATTTCAGAAACAGTGAGCGGTCCACGGGCCAAATCAAATTACTGAGTCCCCACCATGTACAGGAGGTCGTGGAGTATGTCAATGTTCTATAGGCCTTGTTCTTGAAATACGAGCTGCTGAGAAGTTATACACTTGGAAAAAGTTAAATAAAGCAGGATTAAGATAATATTTTGAGCCAGCAGTAGGAAGCAATGACTATAGGACTTTTGGGGCTAGAAGAGATTGTCTGGCCCTTTTAACAATAGCCAGAGAAAAGGAGGTGGAAGGGGAGAAACACGCAGCCCGAGGCTTTGCGTGCAGTTTCCCGCAGAGCTGGCAGCAGAAGCCCGGCCTCCACATCCCGCTTCTGTTTGGATTAAAGGCTTGAGATGTCTCCAGATAACCACTGAATGGCCAGCGTGGAGGTTCATGGTACTGGCTTTCAAAGGAAGGGACAGTCGCAGCAGGCTGAGGGAGGGCAGATCAGGGAGAAGGTGGGAGCTGAAGGGCGGTTTGGATTAGTAGATTAAGCAGAGAAGGAAGGGCTTTTCAGGAAGGCGGAATGGTATGAACAGGCCCAGAGTAGGAAGTGAGCGATGTCTTTTCAAAAGTGTCAGCATTATCATCACCTGCCAGCTCCGACCACCCAGAGCTGGGAGCTGTCCCCCTGCTGCCTCTCCCTGCTGTGGGTCCTGCCCCTCCTCCCTGCCGTCCCTGCTGCTGCCTGAGCGCTAACCCTGATCATGTCTCTGCTGCTCACTCATCCCTCTACCCCTGCTACCTTTCATATTCCCGAGCGTTTCTTTTCTAACACATGGCTCTTACCATGTTAAAAAATCATTCCGTGACTCCCAATTGCCAGATGATGCCCAACCACTTAGTGTAGGGGGGTGTCATGGCTTACCTCACCTGCCACCCCTCCGGAGGCACCTGTCTCCAGCCTGGTGAAGTCAGGGTCACAACTCCAGGCCTTGGCACCGGCTGCTCCCTGGCTGGGAATGCCCCTCCTCCCACCGCCCCGCGCCTGCCAACCGACCCTCCTTCCTAGCTTTCATCTCATCAAGATTTATTGAACACATAATAAAAAGTAAATCCCCCTCCTCACTCCCCGGGAGTTAGTTGTTTCCTCCTCTGTACACCTGTGGCCCTCTACTTTACCTATTTGGACACTGTCTGTCTCTTCCATCAGCCTGAACTCATTTCGGGAAGAAAGTTTCTTTTATTCACCTTCACATCCTTGGCACTTACTGTTTTTGACTCGGCATATAGCTGAGATACCCTCTAAGCGTTTCATTGAAAATAAGTGAGGTAAAATAAGAATTAAGTGCTGAGAGAAAATAAGTGAAATAAAATAGGGGTTAAGTGCTGAATATCGGGCTGGGAAGTTGGGCTGCAGTTTAATCTCTTAAAAATTAGATGACACCTCTAGGAGCTTAATGCATCGGGGAGCTTGTTAAAATTTTACCTTTTGAGGCACACCCTTTTCCATGCTGGTAGGAGTGGGCCTGGGTGTTTTTGCTATTGTCATTGTTGATTTAAATAATAAGCTGCCTCAGGGATTCTGGGCAGCCTGCCTGGTACCCGTCAGCAGACCAGCCTTTGGGGACACTGTGTCATGGAGCACGCTAAGTACACCCTGGGTATTAGCTCAAACGCCCTTCCTCTAGTGTCTCAGTCTCCTCTTGCCTTAAGCCTTTGAAAGAGTAACTCAACTGAATGCTCTAGTTGGGCCTCCTCAGGGAAAGAAAAGACCTGGATTTAAAGCATACTCCAGTCTAAGCATCCCCATGCCAGTTCATAAGTTCCTTTTGTTGTGTTCAGGCCCAAGCCAGACCTCACTCACAGCGCAGTCCCCCCCTTTCTCCCCTGCTGCCAGGCTGTTTGCTGTCAAATGTGGGGGCTGCTTTGAGGCCATCGCACCCAACGAGTTTGTTATGCGGGCCCAGAAGAGTGTATACCACCTGAGCTGCTTCTGCTGCTGTGTCTGCGAGCGACAGCTTCAGAAGGGTGATGAATTTGTCCTGAAGGAGGGGCAGCTGCTCTGCAAAGGGGACTACGAGAAGGAACGGGAGCTGCTCAGCCTGGTGAGCCCGGCAGCCTCAGACTCGGGTGAGTGCCAGGTGCTGGGCAGGGCTGTGGTGGAGTGGGTGGAGTGGGTTGGTGTGGCTGTCTGTATTGCTTCCTTCTTAGAGGGACGGCAACTAGGGCAGCCTAGCTCCATGGCAAGGTAGTTCTGTGTGTTACAGGAACTTTCTTTATAAGTACTGAGTAATCTCTTATCAGTCAGCTACCACCATGACAATGGTGCGTAACAAATTATCCCAGGGTTCCATGGCATAGAGCCATGAATATTTCTTCACACATAGCAAGTCTCTGGATTAACTGGCGTGACTCTGCTTCAGGTTGAAGACTTCCAGTTAGCTGGAGTCTGTTGGTCTCAGCTGAGCTCAGCTCCAGGCTGCAGACCAGGTTTAGATCTGCTCTGTGTGATTCATTCTGAGGTCCAGGTTTGAGGAGAAGCAGCTATTGAGTGTGATTCCCTGGTAAAGGAGAAAGTGCCACAACGAGTACATTTCAAGCCTCTGTGCACATCCTGTCTGCTAATATCCACTGGCTAAAGCAAATGTCAGTATCAAACCCAAAGTCAAGTGGAGAGGAAATATGCGGTTATACTCCACACACACCAAAGCCCTGGCAGTGTACAGATACCTAATACTATTAAAGAGAATGATGAATTGGAAACCAATAATTGAGTCTATCTTGATCATGGAACTGCCCTAAGCTTTTGTTTCCTCATCTGTCAAGGGGGAAGGACGGAATCCATCTAAGGCTTGGCGAGTCACATAAAGGAAAGAACTCCTTTCTTTCTTTTAACCTACCTGAGCCTTTCCCCTCATTGCCCTGAGGGAAGGGGAAAGTGAAGAGACAGCAGAGGTTCTGAGATTTTACAGAGCAGGTTAAAACTGTCTAAATTAAGCATAGAGTGCCCTTCTGGGGTTTTAGTCACTCCAGGGCAGCATTTGACTAATCCACAGAATCAGTGAGGTTCAATGAGATAAGAGCCACGTGACGTTACTAGTTCTTGCCATTGTCAATTACTGTCCATTTCCAAGCCCCTTAACACACTTACCAGGGGTGCCTCTGTGGCCTCACTCTGCCCGTCTCTCTGGCCTCTTCAGGAGCCCCTCCTGGATCTCTCTCACTCTACACTCTGGCTTTAGGGACACCAGTATGCGTCAGTGTCTCTTCTTTCTCAGCCTCTCTCCCTCCTTCTTTTGTCTTGCTGGCTTATCCTTTAAGTTTCCTCAAAGGATACTTCATCAGGAAGGCCCTGATTCCCCTATGCTGGGTGACTTTACCTGTACCTTCTCCTGCTGGGACATTTCTCCTGCCTTACCGTGATTCCATGTTTGTTGTTTCTCTGTTCAGTGTGCTAAACTCCATGAGGGACAGTAGGCATCTTGTTTAGCACAGTATGCCCAGGCCTTGGCACAGGCCGGGAACAGTGAGGGTGCTCCATAAACTCTGCGTTAAACAATGAATCAACAAATGAAACAGAAGGTTCATGACATGGGACCTAGTACAGATGCTTTGGAGAAAGATCGCTGGGTGGTTAATCCAGGCTGGACCACTTACATCTATGTGACTTTGGGCAAGATTCTGAACCTCGCTAAATCTTGGTTTCTGCAACTGCAAAAGAGCAATAATGAGGCCTACCTAACGGGGAAATAAAAAAGATAATTCATGTAAAAAACCTGTGTTCAGTAGGTGCCAGCATCCAACATCTGCTGGCTGGTGTTAGCACCTTCACTGGAGCTGCATTCTGTTTCCTTTACCTCCCGGTCAGTTCTTCTTGCCTGACCCTGCTTGCAGCCTTAAGAAAGGTGACTCTAGGACAATCCCAACTCCTACTGGGCTTATTGGTCTTAAGTTTTCTAGGATTTATTTTAATTTGAAGGAAATTTCTTCTTGGCAAGAACACAGGTGCTGACATACTGAGTATCTCCATCAGGGGTAGTTGGGGCTGTTCTAATGGCCTCCACTTGTAACAAGGTCGATCATCCTGTCTTTCCCTCCAGGTCTCTTGCTCCACCCACCCACTTAGGCTTCCTCCCCAGAATATTGCAAAACTTTCAAATTCCCAAAGGGCTTAGGTGCTCTGTCAGCATGGCCTCAGAAAGACGTGCACACCCAGAAGAACATCCTATTCCTGCTCACACCGAGTGAAATCTGTGGTGTAGCTTTTCTTGATAGGCAATTGTGTGGGGCTCGATCCTGACGTTATCCAGTTGGCGCCTGTTAAAAGTTCACAGATTTTACTTGACTGCAGAATCAACACGAGGCATTAGTGTACTGTCTCCATCTTCCCACCCTTTTCCAAAAAGGCAGTAAGAGAAAGCTGGATCTGAGCAGCATTAATAGAGAAATAGAATTACAATGTTCAGAGTGAAGGAACCATAACAGGTTCACTTTTCTGACCACATTTTCAGCAATATGTTTAGTTCTGGGAATTTCTTTCTGGGGATGATATTGACAAATCAGAGCTTTCCCCCTCATTCAGGTACATTCAGTAGACATGTCTTGAATGTTCATGTTACGCCAGGCCCAGACTCAGCATATGATAAATAAGAATGGTGTGGAAGTGGGGAGGTCTCACAACCTGGTCAACTGTAGGAATTGTTTAGATAAGGACACACTTGTTGCCTTCATATGGTTGGATCAAACTTGTTTGTCTTCTAACTTCAAAGAGCAGAATGAAAATTTATTTAATTATTCAACAAAATCATTGAGTGCTTTTGCTGTAGATAGGAAGCTACAGGGAAACCCGTTTTGACTCGACACAGGGAATGTTGTTATGATTATTAAGTCTAACAAAGAGTAAGACTATTCTAGAGATAGCACCTCTACCATTTTTTTGAAAGTAATATTGGTGGGGTGAGTGTGGACAGTAGTTCTGAAGAGCTTCAAGTTTAAAAATCAATAATTGTTTTTGTGGTTTTAAATGAAACGACATTCAGGTCTCAGCCAGAATCAATATCTCCTTTAGACCACTCGTTTGTCAATTATACAAATGCTGCGTATTTTGCATCATAAAATGTTTTGTGTATCAAAGCTTGCTTCACTAATGAGAGGACCAGGTTATAGCTTTTAATTCCTTTGAAGAGTAAGTGATCAATAGGTACCTAATCAATTGAATAAAATCTTCAAGGAATAAAGTCCACCTCCTATTAGAGGTTTACAGAAAGCAAACAGTATTAGGATCTGTCCCAATACAAACACAGTTTCCCTCTGGTTTCTGTCTTGAGCACCAGACATATATATTGTAGGTGTTTGATAAATATTTGTTGAGTGAATGATTGACCTGTCATCTTTAAAGCTTTTATCAATGACTTAGACGAACACACATACACATAAGGCAGGTTTATTCAATTTGTAGATGACACAAACCTGGCAGGAAATGCTGCTGTGGCAGCTGATGCTCTCAATGTTCAAAAAGATTTTGACAAGCAAACAGATTAGCAATTTATCTCTCTGGAGAGGAAATCTAGCCATCAGGTTCCAAAATTCAGTTATAATTGTTTGAAATGTGGCCTGTTTTTGGTGGAATTCCGTGTAGGGTTGTAGCTGATAAAGAGGGGCCAAGAAGATGTATTCTGCATTAGTAGGATTGCACAATCCAAACCGGTAATTATAGTTCTGTTATTGACTTGTTTATTTATTTTGCATTAGTCAGAGCACATTTAGAATATCTGGGCTAATTTCAAATGATGCATTTTAGGAAGTCATTGAGTACCTAGAAGTCTTGAGAAGAGTGATTAGCTTGTTAATGATAAATAACTAAAAAACTCAGTATATTTTGCTTTGTAAAAATAAGGCTAAGGAACATATGAGAATCACACCCAAGGTTGAAGATCATGTACTGGGAGAGAAATGACAGATTTTGGTTCCGTACTGGGTAGAACTGTGTCCAACCAGGTGCAGACTGAACTGCTTTTGTAGGAAGAGAGTTTGCTCATCCCTTCACATTATAATTACATTTGGAAGGAGACTGCACCAGTGACCTCTAGGGCTGCTTAAATCTAGGATTCTAGAATCTATGGTTTATGATATTGCCTGATCTGACTTACACAAAAGCTCAGGACATCTTCATAGCTACATGGGACACCAAGCTCACATCTTCAGCTGCTGGGTGTTCTTTTCTGATGTCAATCAACCGTTTTTATCCTAATCTCTGCTAGTGGCCCTGAGGCACCTCCCAGGCAGATGAATGGAATTTGTAGCCAGAGTCAGGCAGTTTTCTCCGGGCTCACTGGGCAACCTGTATGCTCGGCGTCTCCCAAAGAGACCCCGCATCACTCATGCCTGTGCTCATCTCCTTCTCCAGAGTCACGGGCACTTGCAATTGATAGGCACATTAGAGCTAGAGCCTATCACATGACATGCTCATCCGGCCTATGCTTGAGTATCTTCAACTATGGGGAAGCTAAAGAGATAAAGGGGCAAATACCAAAGTGCTTTTCCTGTTTACTCCTTAGATGAGTGTGGTTTTTTCCCCCACACTCCAAGCAGTTCTCCAGTGGGCACCAACTGGGTGCCCTCTAATTAGATTCAGTTCTGACACTCTCTATCTGGAGATAAGGTCAGATCCCGCAGGTAAAGGACTCAGCCTCGCAAGACTGCCTTTGCCTCCACTTCAGATGTAAGTAGTTGTCACCTGTACTTCTGACCTATTGGCTATAAGTCAAGGTTCCTAAAGCAGCTTCCTTGGGTTCAATTAATTTGCTAGAGCAGTCACAGAACTCAGAGAAATACTTTACTGTTGTTAACCCACTTATTCCAAAGGATACTTTAATGGATAAAAATGCCATCCTCTAGGAGCCTCTGTGTGTTCAGCTGTCTGGAAACTCCCTAAACCCTGTCCTTCTGGGTTCCTACAGAGCAGTGGTTCTCAACCTTCCTAATGCTGCAGTCCTTTTACAGTTCCTATGGGTCATTACCCACAGGTTGAGAACCGCTGTTATAGAGGCTTCACTGCATAGGCATGATTGATGACATCACTGGCCACTGGTGATCAGTTCAACCTCCAGCCCTTCTCCCCTCCTTGGAGG